GAAGTCAAGGGCTCGGGATGTTTAAACGCGCTCCATTCTGCACCAACCACACCAAGATAAAAGTCAAGGGCTCGAGATGTTTACACGTGCTCCATTCTGCACCAACCAGACCAAGATAGAAGTCAAGGGCTCGAGATGTTTACCCGAGCTCCATTCTGCACCAACCAAATCAAGATAGAAGTCAAGGGCTCGAAGTGTTTACACGCGCTCCTTTCTACACCAACCACACCAAGATAAAAGTCTGGGGCTCGAGATGTTTACACGAGCTCCATTCTGCACCAACCAGACCAAGATAGAAGTCAAGGGCTCGAGATGTTTACACGCGCTCCATTCTGCACCAACCAGACCAAGATAGAAGTCAAGGGCTCGAGATGTTTACACGAGCTCCATTCTGCCCCAACCACACCAAGATAGAAGTCTGGGACTCGAGATGTTTACACGAGCTCCATTCTGCACCAACCACACCAAGATAAAAGTCAAGGGCTCGAGATGTTTAGACGCGCTCCATTCTACACAAACCACACCAAGATAAAAGTCAAGGGCTCGAGATGTTTGCCCGAGCTGCATTCTGCACCAACCAGACCAAGATAGAAGTCAAGGGCTCGGGATGTTTACACGCGCTCCATTCTGCACCAACCACACCAAGATAAAAGTCAAGGGCTCGAGATGTTTACACGTGCTCCATTCTGCACCAACCAGACCAAGATAGAGGTCAAGGGCTCGAGATGTTTACACGAGCTCCATTCTGCCCCAACCACACCAAGATAGAAGTCTGGGACTCGAGATTTTTACACGCGCCCCTTTCTACACCAACCACACCAAGATAAAAGTCAAGGGCTCGAGATGTTTAGACGCGCTCCATTCTACACCAACCACACCAAGATAAAAGTCAAGGGCTCGAGATGTTTAAACGCGTTCCATTCTGCACCAACCACATCAAGATAGAAGTCAGCTTCTTCTTCAGCTCGGGCTGTTTTACCATGTTTTTCCATTCTGCAGTCTTAACCAACACTAAGAGAGAAGTCAGGGACTCGAGATGTTTACACACGCTCCATTCTGCAGTTTTAATCAACACCAAGATAGAAGTCAAGGGCTCCGGATGTTGACATACTCTCCATTTTTGAGCTAAATTCAACACCGATATTGAAGTCAAGGACTCAGGATGTTTATTCTGCAGCTTAACTCATTACCAATATGAAGTATAGAGCTTGGATTCTGAAGGATGGTCCAACTCTCAAATGCTTAATTTGTGTTCATTTGCCGTTGCTAAAGGAATTGACTTACTACTCTACAGTATCGTCATAAAGATAACTGAAGTCATAGAATTATGATTATCTCCCTTGGAGGCCAGTTGAAAAATATTCCGATTTTACCGATCGTGGAACTCAATGACCTCAGACTAATTTATTTAAAAGGAATGATTCTCAGTCATTCTTAAAACATAACAGAGCACAGACATACGTTTCAATAATAAAAGACAAATTTCATCAGCAGCAGGCAGTAGGCTACATCGATGGCGGTTAATTTATCAAAATATTTAATCTGTGAAATCACAGAATCATGTGGACATTAATGGAATCATCCATTTAAGGTACACGATTATTAATTGAACATACAAGCCAATAATTCCCTCTAATTCCGTCTCGGAATCATTAATTTCTATATCATTGCCTCGAGTGCACCTTTAAGCTTCATGCGGATTACAAGTGAACCGAATATAACCTTTACGTCATGATTTATTTCCATAACACGTGGGCGAGAAGAAAATTGATGAATCTGGAATATAACGTGAACACGAGATCTGGAAGCTGTACGACATACATAGAGAAAATCGATAGGCCATTAAACGGAGGTCTTCTCTTTTCGCACGAATCTTCCGATGTTAAAGATACCTTATTCCATTTAAAATGTCTCGATTGGGTTAAGTTACAACAACCTTCAGAATCGAATGAAGTGAATCACTAAGATTTGAAATCTGCTGTGCTTTGAGATGCAAACAATTACAATACTGAACCTTTGAGAATTTGAATTCACTTGACAGACAGCAACCTTTCAGACTCAAATAAATTAAATGGACCGCTGAGAATTGAAACCTGGTGACCTTTGAGAAGCAAAACTTGTACATACATTTTTAAGGTCATCTGAAACTTTGCGAATGGAAAAACAAATTAATGAACCTTTGAGAATAGAAATGTCAGCATCATTGGGCCTGTGTGAATTACAATATCAACACAGCTGAACCTTGGAGAATAAAAATGTGAACATTAATGAAATATGAGAATATAAATATCAACATTACAGAACTACATGGTACCTCGCTGAACCATTCAGAATTACAATATCAACATAACTGAACCTTTGAAAAAAGAAATACCATTATTACTGAACCTTTGCGAATGAACAAATCGACAATACTGAATCACTGAGAATTACAATAACAACATTACTGAACCTTTAAGCATCACAATAACATCATCGCTGAACTTTTTCGAATTATGATATCAGCATCCTGAACCTTTAAGCATCACAATAACATCGTTGCTGAACCTTTTCGAATTACAATATCAACATTACTGAACTTTCAAGCATCACAATAACATCGTTACTGAACCTTTTTGAATTACAATATCAACATTACTGAACTTTCATGCATCACAATAACATCGTTACTAAACCTTTTCGAATTACAATATCAACTTTACTGAACCTTCAAGCATCACAATAACATCGTTGCTGAACCTTTTCGAATTGTGATATCAATATTACTGAACTTTCAAGCATCACAATAACATCGTTGCTGAACCTTTTCGAATTACAATATCAACATTACTGAACTTTCAAGCATCACAATAACATCGTTACTGAACCTTTTTGAATTACAATATCAACATTACTGAACTTTCAAGCATCACAATAACATCGTTACTAAACCTTTTCGAATTACAATATCAACTTTACTGAACCTTCAAGCATCACAATAACATCGTTGCTGAACCTTTTCGAATTGTGATATCAATATTACTGAACTTTCAAGCATCACAATAACATCGTTGCTGAACCTTTTCGAATTACAATATCAACATTACTGAACTTTCAAGCATCACAATAACATCGTTACTAAACCTTTTCGAATTACAATATCAACTTTACTGAACCTTCAAGCATCACAATAACATCGTTGCTGAACCTTTTCGAATTGTGATATCAATATTACTGAACTTTCAAGCATCACAATAACATCGTTGCTGAACCTTTTCGAATTACAATATCAACTTTACTGAACTTTCAAGCATCATAATAACATCGTTGCTGAACCTTTTCGAATTACAATATCAACATTACTGAACTTTCAAGCATCACAATAGCATCGTTGCTGAACCTTTTCGAATTACAATATCAACATTACTGAACTTTCAAGCATCACAATAACATCATTGCTGAACCTTTTCGAATTAAAATATCAATATTACTGGACTTTCAAGCATCACAATAGCATCGTTGCTGAACCTTTTCGAATTACAATATCAACATTACTAAACTTTCAAGCATAACAATAACGTCGTTACTGAACCTTTTCAAATACAATATCAACATTACTAAAATTTCAAACATCACAATAACATCGTTACTGAACCTTTCAGAATACAATATCAACTTTACTGAACTTTCAAGAATCACAATAGCGTCCTTGCTGAACCTTTTCAAATTACATTATCCACATTACTGAACTTTAAAGCATCACAATAACATCGTTACTGAACCTTTCAGAATTACAATATCAACATTACGGAACTTTCAAGAATCACAATAGCGTCGTTGCTGAACCTTTTCAAATTACATTATCAACATTACTGAACTTTAAAGCATCACAATAACATCGTTACTGAACCTTTCAGAATTACAATATCGACATTACTGAATCATTGAGAATAGAAATATCAATATTAATGATTTTTTGAAAATATAACATTACTGAAACTTTGAAAATAGTAAATATCACGATTACAGGACATAGAATGGAAATATAAACAACACCGAAGCTATGAGAATTACATAAGAATTTGAGAATCAAACTGTTTATACTAATAACGCATCTGGCTCCTTGCCTCTTCATTCGTGAGGGGAAGGCATTTCCTAACATTTTATGTATTTTTAACTAGAGGAAAGTGTTTGAGGCTATTTGTCTCTTTAACTAGAGGAAAGTGTTTTATGCTCTTTGTCTCTTTAACTAGAGGAAAGTGTTTTATGCTTTGTGTCTCTTTAACTGGAGGAAAGTGTTTTATGCTCTTTGTCTCTTTAACTGGGGGAAAGTGTTTGATGCTTTGTGTCTCTTAACTAGAGGAAAGTGTTTTAGGCTTTTTGTCTCTTTAACTAGAGGAAAGTGTTTTAGGCTCTTTGTCTCTTTAACTAGAGGAAAGTGTTTTATGCTCTTTGTCTCTTTAACTGGAGGAAAGTGTTTTATGCTTTGTGTCTCTTTAACTGGGGGAAAGTGTTTGAGGCCATTTGTCTCTATAACTAGAGGAAAGTGTTTTAGGCTTATTTGTCTCTTTAACTAGAGGAAAGTGTTTTATGCTATTTGTCTCTTTAACTAGAGGAAAGTGTTTTAGGCTTTTTGTCTCTTTAACTGGAGGAAAGTGTTTTATGCTATTTGTCTCTTTAACTAGAGGAAAGTGTTTTATGCTTTGTGTCTCTTTAACTAGAGGAAAGTGTTTTATGCTCTTTGTCTCTTTAACTGGAGGAAAGTGTTTTATGCTTTGTGTCTCTTTAACTGGAGGAAAGTGTTTTATGCTCTTTGTCTCTTTAACTAGAGGGAAGTGTTTTATGCTTTGTGTCTCTTTAACTGGAGGGAAGTGTTTTATGCTCTTTGTCTCTTTAACTAGAGGGAAGTGTTTTATGCTTTGTGTCTCTTTAACTGGAGGAAAGTGTTTTATGCTCTTGTGTCTCTTTAACTGGAGGAAAGTGTTTTATGCTCTTTGTCTCTTTAACTGGAGGGAAGTGTTTTATGCTTTTGTCTCTTTAACTGGAGGGAAGTGTTTTATGCTCTTTGTCTCTTTAACTAGAGGGAAGTGTTTTATGCTTTGTGTCTCTTTAACTGGAGGGAAGTGTTTTATGCTCTTTGTCTCTTTAACTGGAGGAAAGTGTTTTATGCTTTGTGTCTCTTTAACTGGAGGAAAGTGTTTTATGCTCTTTGTCTCTTTAACTGGGGGAAAGTGTTTTATGCTCTTTGTCTCTTTAACTGGAGGGAAGTGTTTTATGCTCTTGTGTCTCTTTAACTGGAGGGAAGTGTTTTATGCTTTGTGTCTCTTTAACTGGGGGAAAGTGTTTTATGCTCTTTGTCTCTTTAACTGGGGGAAAGTGTTTTAT